AATTTTTTAGTTGCTCTAAAATCTGGTTAAAGTCCCTGGTACTATAGTACAGGGATTTCAGCCAAATTTTGCTCCCTGTACTATAGTACAGGGATTTCAGCCAAATTTTGCCAAAAATGAAAAGGTGAGAATTCTTTATTTTTATTATGTTTTCTCATGCATATACATGTACTTATGTTGTGTAAAAAGTTTGAGCTGATTCCGATCAAGTTTAAATTTTTTATGAATTTTTAAAGTTGCTCTAAAATCTGGTTAAAGTCCCTGTACTATAGTACAAGGATTTCAACCAAATTTTGCCAAAAATAAAAAGGTGAGAATTCTTTATTTTTATTATGTTTTCTCATGCATATACATGTACTTATGTTGTGTAGAAAGTTTGAGCTGATTCCGATCAAGTTTGAATTTTTTACGAATTTTTAAAGTTGCTCTAAAATCTGGTTAAAGTCCCTGTACTATAGTACAGGGATTTTGGTCAAAATTTCGCCAAAAATGAAAGTGAAATTTTATATTTTATAATTTTGAATAGGAAAAAATCAGCATTATTTTTATTTTATTTAAAAAAAATTTTTAAATACATAATTACGTTTCCTTTACACATAATTTGCTAGTAACAATCATGGTCTCACCTTTTTTACTGGTTTGACTCTTTTCTTTAACGTAAACTGTCTAAATGTGTTGGGCTTGAGTGTAGCTGGATCAATGTAACGGCCTAGAGGAGAAGACAGTGAAGAAGAAGACATCAAAATATATCTTCCCCCTCAATATTCCTCACATTTCATTACTTTCTCAAACAAGAGGTAATTGTTATGAGCCTCAGCTGCTTCCTTTGCAGCAACGGAAGTAGCGAATTCAATGAAAGCAAAACCTCTTGAGCGACCAGTCTGAAGGAAACAGAGTACAGAGGAAATGAGGGGATTCATTATTAAGGATATTCACACATGACATGTACATTGTATGTATATATACATGTACTTAAACTTTAACATACAGTTTAACCTCCATAATAAGGATAATAAGGACACCATACAACCTTATTATAATGAGGACACTTGGTAGTGTCCCATTGCTACTTAGTGCAAGCCTATACAAAAGTACCTCTGAAATGAGGACACCTCTGTATTAAGGACAGGTAGTGTGGGCCCAATGGTGTCCTTAATAAAGAGGCTACACTGTACATGTATTAAAGACAGGTAGTGTGGGCCCAATGGTGTCCTTAATAAAGAGGCTACACTGTACATGTATTAAGGACAGGTAGTGTGGGCCCAATGGTGTCCTTAATAAAGTGATTATAATATATGTACATATACATGATACATGGACCAGGTGTATTCTAATTATAATTTCTCTCACTCTTTTGCTCCTAATCAGTTTCAGATTGGTAACTTCACCAAACTGAGTAAAATAACTTTTCATTTCTCTCTCGTAGAACCCGTGAGGTATGTGGCTGAGGTATATGGCACCTGGCTTCAACTCCTCTTCGTTGGCTTCTTCCGCCTTCTGCTTCTTCTCTTTCTTTTTACTCTGTAATCAATGATAGTTTTACAATGGATTGAGTACACTTTTGAGCTAGTTCTGATTACAATTTACCATAAAAATACTAATCTAGACTATAACATGGTAACTTTTCAGATTATGCTCTTAGATATGCTTTCAAAGTTACCAGTCACAAATGACAGGAAACAATATAAAGCCCCAACCATCTCCAGGAGCTGGGAGATACACGTCTCACAGTTGTTATAATGCTATAAACTTACCATTCCTCAAGCCTTTTCTGTTCTCTACCACGTGGACTGGACTCCTAATTATTTCCTATTAGCCCCACCCGTGACAAAATGGCGTCCAACAAAGAACACGTTTAAAGTTTAAATTGGTTGCTTATTTCTTTATTATTAAAAGAGACAAATAAGACAATAATTACTGGTTTATGTAATTATCATAACAGGTGAGAATGAGGTAATATCTTGGAACTCAGCGACCACTACAAAGGAAAAAATACTTCATTATGAAACAGACAACAAAACAAAAGGCTTTAAAACTTACACCAATATGTTGTTAATTGGAATATGAATTAGCTTAACAAAGAATCCAATGAAGCCCATTATGGCAAATCCTATAGCAGTTGCAAAAGCTATCTTCTGAAACTCTAAAAAGAAAAAAAACGGAATTTGAAACTTTTGAATTTAAAGCTCTGTACCTTTCAGATCAGGCTTTGTACATCTCTTCACTAGTCTAATGGAGTCCTTGGCAAACTCTTTTAAAGGTTTAACGTAGTCTTGGACAAGATCCATTGAGCTTTGTTGGACAAAAAGAGGAAACAGAACCGTCAACGTGTAAAAACTGGAAACTTGAAATTATACTGTAGCCACACCTATATATATGGGCGTGGTTACCTAATTAATTAACTGTATTTAATTATTATTTTTTCATAACTTTATCATGTAACAAAAAAAGTACAAAAAATTGGTTCATAAAACTGTGTAGTTCTTTGCTCCACATTCCTCATTCATCCCAGCAGCTGTGTAGCATTAATCAACCACTGGTGGGCTTCAGTCCTTCCTTGATCTATGAGGACAGGAGAAAGGGTGTCACGAACTTGAGTGTGATAATCATTCAACCAAGACACTTCATCTTCAGTGAGGAGCTCAGGGGCTATCATCTTTAGCTGTATAGGAACCTAATAATAAATAAATAAATAAATAAATAAATGAATAAATAAATGGATAAATAAAATAAATAAATGGATAAATAAAATAATAAATAAATAAAT